TCATCAATTTATGCATCAATAGTATAGCTGTGGAATTAATAATTAATAAGTGGGTGGGTAAATAAATAGCAGCAGTGTAGAAGAAAGGGAAAAGAAAGACACAAACATGCACAAAGTAAATTAATAAAAAAAGGGATTAAAAGAAAAACAATAGTTACTTTGAGTTGCCATAAAGAGAAAGTAATAATTAACAACTTACCTTTTTGAGTACACACTATTTTAGGAAGAATAACCGCCGCTAGAAGGACATAGCCCGGGGTATCAGGAAGAAAACGAGTGCTGGAAAAGAAAAGAAGAGAAGTTAATCAGTACTGCCCGGCTAAATCAATCATACATGCCTCAACTTACCTTTAGTAATACGAACTTTGAACTGGTGAAGCGACTGACTCGCCATTTTCCGGCCTAACAATATAAACAAATTCAATGTAGAAAGAGAAGACTTGTTCTTCTATAACTGATATCTTGACTTTGGATTTTTTTTTGCATTCTCTTGTCATATGTCTTTCTTTTTTGCAGTTGTAACATGTGATTTTTTCCTTTCATTTTGGAAAGTTTCTTTTCTTTTTTGCTTCAGCTTGATCTAATTCCATTGAAACTAAGCTGTTGCTTTTATTATCTTAATATTGTCAAGAAAGTTTGTTTTGAACTGTTCATGTTCAACCATACTCCATCCAATGTCAGATTTAAAATTATTTATAAGTTTGTTCTACTTTTTTATTAATTTTTGTTTGGTTTGCATGTGTTGTCCCGTTAAATCCATTATACCCCAATATTGTGAACTTCAATAGAAAGAGATAATATTTACAAATTTCATTAGCAAATTCTCTTGTAAAACTATTATGTAAAAAAAAATACTTATTGGACTTCAGGGCTTTTAATTAAAAACTTTCAAAATGTCAAAATCATCTATTATAAAAGAGTCCCAGGTAGTGATTATTTGAATTGTAGATGTTGAGGATGCTGTTATTGGTTCTTCTTTTGCAATGTAGGATAAATCTACGCTATTAACAAGATTATCAAAATACTCGGGTTCTTTCAGATAATAAATATGATTATCATCTGTATCTTCGTTATCATTGTTATCACTTGTGACGTAATAGATATCTTCTAGCATTTCAAGTGGCAGTGCTTCTACTCCTGATAGAACAGAAGGTTGTAAAATGGTCTGGAAACCTTTTGTCTGTGCGGTAACATTAACTGATTCCTGAAAGAAGACAGTGACAATTTGAATGTTCTTATTTGTTACAATATAACTTTGAATAGATATTAATGTACCTTAACCACGAAATTAATGATTTCCTTTTTTCAAGATTCATTTTAGCATCAAAAAAATTCCCGACAGAACTGTATAACAGCCTTGCCAGACAATGACTGTAACAATAGAGATTATGAGCTAAATTCAATCTAGTATCAATAAATCAAAGAGAGCGACAGAGTATCTTTAACCATTTTAAGTAATTAAAACTAAATGATTTTATTGGTAACAGAAGGAAAAACATCTTGTTTATAATTCCAAGGTTTTCTACGAAGTTGATAAGATGTTGATCAAAGGTAAGATCACTGTCTGGTCCTTCGACAATTTTATTAATATAGGTTTCCAATGACCACTTGCAAGCAGATAAATCTTTAAAAAACTTGATAACATCGCAATCTTCTGATGGAAATTAAAATTTAGAGAACTTACATCCCAAAATTCTTGGCTTAGGACCTATAGATGACATATTGATCTAACAGCGCGTTGCAATTACCTTAAAGTATTTTTATTGGTATAGCATATCCACGTGATCAAGATAATGCAGTTTGATTGGTAAACATTTTTAACAAATAACCCTTCAAAACTCTGAACACAAAGTATTTTTTATTAAAGAAATATTCAGATACGATCAAAACACAGCACGATTTCCTATACGCTCATGTGGTTCATATGAATGGCGGACATGCTGGAAGTGCGAAGGAGAAACCATATGGACGTGATCTCTTCTTCATATTCGCCTGCCGGCTGGTTTAAACATATGTTGATCAGACCAGCAGAAGTGTGCGTGAAATAATTTTGCTTAGCCATATGGTGGTAAACCATTCACGCACAAAGGTAAGCCACATATTTCGCTCAACCATATGGTGGTGAGAGTGTGGTTTTTGTAAATTATTTATTATACCATTGCATTTTCCTCTACGCTCCACATATAATTAACCATATAAAATAGCCAAACTTGGCTCCTTGTTGAGGAGAAATGCAAAAAACAAATTCCATGAGAATTTATTTTGGAACAGTATTTTGAAAAAAAATAAATCAATGTTTAATATTTTCGAGACCACAATGTAAGGTGATAAAAGTCTTATTTTTTAGATACCAGATCATCTTGTTAATTGACATGTAGGGAATTGTAACGAAGGAATGGTGAGAGACACTTTGCGACAGTAATCAATTATTCATTCATTTTACTAATCTATTCACCAATGAATCATTATTTGGTAATTCAGTTTGTTCAAGTGTGAAATACCAATATATCATCTCGTAGACATTGTGAAATTTGACAAAACTGTTCTCCACAACCATTCTGTAAAGAGGTATCATCAAAGTCAAGTCAGGAATTATCTTTTTGGGACAAGAAGCCAATTCAACTTCAATAAAAGTCATATAATTTAATGAAACCAATCACCACAGTTTCCCTATATAAAAGTAATATCATCAATATCAAAATCAGGAAAGAAATTCTAGAATCAAAACAGTAATGATGTATTTCAAAAGAGGTCAAAAAGTTTTAAATAAAAAATTTTATTGGTGCAAAATAGTGGACATTTTGGACTGATGTGGAAAATATGTTTATTCTTAACTGGCATGCTTCACTTGAATAGTCAGTCTAGTAATGAATTTTTTATTATGGCAATTAATAAACTGAGTTAACTTGAATTACAATAGGTCTTAAAATACAAGAGCTATATTTGAGTAGTCCTAAGAAATATGTGGCAATATTAAAACAAGAAAAGCTCTTTGAAGTGCCAGTTACAGTCAAAAAAATACAGGATCTTATTAGAGTAGTGACAAGTATATGGATATTGAAGGTAATTCAGTTTTCATTTTATTTTAGTCTCATCATGAAATATTCTTTCATTACCTTATCTTTACATACAGAAAGCGATTATAGACTGCATGGATACAGTAAACTTACAAGATCATAATTCAATTGATCTTAGGAAAGAACTAGTAGCCATCGGCACAGAGACTCCACCTCTCTCAATTGTTTTGCCATTGTCTTGTGATGTTATTTGGTGAATTTATTCATTATACAATATTTATGCTGGTCCCACAAAATCGTTAAGGCTTATATATTGGTACTAGTTTAACAGAGTAATAAACTTCGCCCACGTATATATGAAAATACA